GATTAGTGGAATAATACATTGGATAATCCTGCTGGTGTAGATGCGTCATACTGACAATAAATTAATAGTTCCTACATTGATATTAACTTCAGGTGAAATTAGAAAGGCACTTGTCTCTCACAGAAAGTACTTTGGGCTCAAATTAGTTTAAAAAATAATTTACTTTAATTAATAACTGAGATGGGTTAACACTTGTTAAAATGTTGCAAACTTCTGTGAATCTGTGAAATAATCTTTTTAAGTTTGATTTACAAGTGACAGGTCTGTAAAGGAGTTATTCAGATGAGGGCTATACTTAAACATATTTTGATCCATTAAGGCCATTTAATGCAGCTGTCTGTGCACCACCAAACATTTGCTACAGTGGAAACATGATTTGTGCTGGCTAATTAGTTCCCATGGCCAGAAGAAAAGGGTGCTGCAGAAAGCAGCATAATCAGCTTTATTTAAACAGCTGAAGAACCAAACCAATAACTGGTGAATTAAGAGAAGAGACATTATGCTACAAGTCTTTTGAGTGTTAGCATCTGAAGATACATTTGACCAGTATGAGATCTGTAACTTAGGTATAAAAGCACAGACAACATTGTAACTACCTAGTTTTACAAGGTTAAATCAGATGCATCCACAAGAAATAGTAAAAGTGGTTTCCATGCTCATAGACTGTTGAGAAGATTCATGACATCCACCCTCAAGAACAGGGTTAGAAAGGATCTAAATGGCACCTGCACAAGATCCAGTCCAGGCTTTATGGATGCCAGTATAAAACCCTATAGATTTCACATTTCTCCACTCAGCGCCTGCTATAATTTTTTTCTGTTCCTTAAAGTATCATAATTACTTTAAAACAAAATGAGAACAGGAACTTTTCCCTAGGTCCATCCATTTTCTTATAGTACCAACCAGCTGGACATTATGTATGTAAATGTTAATTTGCAAGCTGTCTTGTAAAACTGTTATGAAATGACACCAAACACAGTAGAATGAAATAGCTGGAATAAAATCAAGCACAAAGGAAAAACCAACATTTTTTTTTTTTTTGCATTTAATCCTTCTGATTGGAACAGCACATTAAAAGCATGTCCATGCTGCTATACAGTTGCTAGATCTAATCTTGAATTCGGTCAACAGTTTTAGTTCCCTGTCTTCTTTTTTCCCAGTAATTTACTTTAAGGAAGCCCCTGCCTCTTTGAGAAGTCTGCACCCCTAAATTTTGTATTATGTTTCTTTAAAAAAAAAAAAAACTTGGCCCAACATAAGACACTCTGATCATCACTCAGCAACTCAAGAAATCATCATCTACATACTGCAGTGATAAAAACTGAATGGTTAAGGGTAGGCGGACAGTTGCCATGGCAAACGAGTGAAAGCGTGGGATAGCCGTCAAGCCAACTATTTATGCCGTCTCTGTAACTTGAGCAAATATTAAAACAACACAAATTTTAATTATCTGCTGCTCATGGGACTATCAGTTTATATAAAGTGCAAAAAAAGAGAAAGCAATATCTCACAGGGACCACAGCTGTTTCAGTACTCCCACTCATCTGTTTTCATGTCTAGATAGTAAAGAGTATTCTGGGCAAGCTTTACTGCCTGCTTTCTGGCAGCCTTACAGCGTTCATCTCCTTGAGGGTCAACAGCATCAAGGGCTAACAGCTGCTTCGTGAGAAGCTCTTCCAGTCTCATGTAGTTCTTATCAGCTCGGTTTCCATCAAATG